TATTCTGAAATAAAGATTAGCTAATATATAGAGCTTAAGAGTAATAAATAATTTTTGATTAGAGAAGTGGACTGTCGGTGAACGTTATCCTTTAACTGAAAGGAAGAGAAGATTTATCTGGGCATAACTAAAAGTCTTGAATAATTCTGCTTTTATAAAGTTATTTAAAAACCTTTATTTTCCTCGCTTTCTGTGCGAAGAGCTAAGGATCGAAGTGAATCCGACAACAAAACACGGTCGTAGCTTCTAAAATCAATACTGCTGTTGATGCCTATTAGGAAAAAACAAAGCTGCTGCTCCTTAATACCGGCTGGTTTATCTGTGGCCAGGGCACCTATCTGCGTGTCCCGGCGCGGAATTACCTCGCACTGTGCCCGGCATTTTCACTGATAGGAAACAAAGTTTCAGCCCCTCCTGAAAGCACCTCGGAAAGGAGAAACTTCTCTCCCGCAATCAATCTTCCTAAATGTAATTAATTTTCCCCTGGTCTCTCCTTTGACAGAAAGGGACGAAGGCGCCTCAGGCAGCAGGAAAGATTCACACGGATTTTGAAAAGGGTTTCATTATGGCTGAAGTAATGAAATATGAAGATTTTAAAGAAGGAGGGTCAGAAGCTGCTGTCAAGGTGAGCTCCCCATCATTTTCTTCTCCCTTCATCCATATATACTGTTTTTCCATTTCAAATCTGTATTTCGTCGGAGAGATCCTGAGGGTAAGTGAATCTAACAATCCATCTAGCAATAGACCACAGATCTATTGTCATGTTATATTTAGGAGAGAATTAAAATGCAGCAACTTAATTAACAAGGATGCCACGATTTTAGTATCAAAGTAGACAGTTCATGGACAAAATGTTCCAAGACCAAATACTGTACTTTGAATTTTCTCTGTTTACATATTCGTGTTTGGATTTTAATAGCCTTTAAAATGAACTTGCTTCTGAAAAATCTTTTTTTTGAAGACGAGATAGTAGATTTTAAAATTACGTTTTAAGAAATAGCAAGAAATACTGGAATTGTTTTTACTTTTAATAACATGCCATATTGTGAAAGTGAAGCTTTTACAAATGTCTGAGGCAAAGGTATAAGAAAACATATTATAAAAATATAGCATTGTTTGTTTTTTTTTAATTAGGACTAGTGAATTCAATCCAGACTATAATAGATGTAATTAGAATCTTAAAATTTACCATTTTGGGGGTTTAGTTCAATTGCACGTTGATGTCTCATGCAAAAATACGGTGCCTTCCTCTGACGGTTCGGGGGCTGCTGGTGGTTGTGTCTCGTCCAGGAAAGCGTGTTACAGTAGGTGATGTTTTTTAGCTGCTCTCTGCTGAATAGGGAGTGAAGAAAAGCTTGTATTTTTAAACAGCAATGAAAAACTTTTTTCCTTGAGCTCACACTTCCCTGCAGTTACACTGCTATTAAGACGAGTTTTATTTGCTTTCTCAACACTAGAGGGCAGAGACTGATTGGATGCCCAAAGTTGTGCCCTTCTTATAGCTGATAAATTAGATCTGATATGGAGTTATTAAATATGAAATGAACTTATACATGGCAAACAAACGTCATAAGAAAAGCAGTTCTACTCGGTGGTGCTATTTCATTATTTCCATCTTTAAATATGGAAAATTCCATTTATTTTGTATGCATTTGGTGAAAATTGCTCTTCTGATTTGGTATTTTTGGTGTTTTATTAATATTTGTATATATTTTATTTTAAAAATTGCAATTACAGAGATCTTTGATTTGATTTGATATGATTCAAATACATACCCTTATGTATTTGAAGGTCTCTGCATTATGGCGTTAAAGAATTTTAAAGGTTCACCTTTCTTTGCTATGTGACAGTTGGAAAGGTATGCAAAACTAGGATTTGAGACTGAGCTTATTCTCAGTGGTATCACCAAGAAAGATCATACTGAGCAGCGGGACTTTAATAGGTTTGTTTGAACCCCAGGAAGTGGGGGGAAAAATCCCGGGGTAATTGGCTCGTTGCGGCATGTGAACTGCCTCGTGGAAAGGGAAGTGGGGTTGTAGCTGTAAAGCAAAATCACCCCTATAAATAAATCTGACATTCCGTAGTCAGAACCCGCCTCGTCTAACCAGGATTCACATTTTGCCAGCAACAGTTTTTTAAATTCAAATTGGAGTGTTCCCCGTGAGAAGCTGCTGCACTGATTAATATCTATTAAATTGATCTATAAGTATTTTGCTTGGATATTTTGATATGATTTTCACAGTGTAAGAATCCAGGCAACCAGCTTTCCCTTTTCAAATTATATTTAATGGCTCAATTTTCATTATTTTGAGGTATCTGGAAGAAGTGCATTTGCAATTGTTGTACAATTTTTACATCAAGGGTTAGAAAGAACCCTTGCTCTCAGAAAAAAATAACCTTATATTACTTCAGTCCTTTTGAATTTACATTTAATACAGTCTCTCATGGTGTACACAATACTAATCACCTTTATATTGCCAGTAAATTCCAAAATGAAATT